CTTTCTCTGATGTCTTGAAAGTAGATATGATGACTTTAATGTTACTGCCTAAGCTGCATCATGTTACTTCCTCTGCTTTAATGACGTCACTTCCTCAGCCTCACGATGTAACTTCATAATTTCACTTTATGTAACCCCTTGTGAAGTGAACATTCATAATGCCACTTCATGTCTGTCTGTCTTTTTACCAACCTGCCCCTCTCTATCTCTATCTATCTCTGGTCTTTATATATTTATCTATCTATCTATGTATCATATTTATCTATCTATCTATCTATCATATTTATCTATCTATCTATCTATGTATCATATTTATCTATCTATCTATCTATGTATCTATCTCTCTATCTCTGCCTACCTGCCTGCCTCTGTCTCTCTCTGTATTTATCTGTTTGACGCTGCCTGTCTATCTTCCTCTCTCCTTAGTCTCTGCTCTTGTTTTTTTTATTTAGTTTTCTCTCTCTCCTTATCCTTCTCTTCATAACTCCCCTACTCGATCCATCTTTTTATAAAGTCAAATCCAGGTAATTGGAAGTAATAACTTCACATCTTTATATGTCCTCATGATGTAACTTGTGGATATGTGTGCAATAAGAAATTGTCTTGGAAATATCCATGTAATAAAATACATGTACGTACATGCCATGCCCATTGGCATGGCTGACCTACTGCTTCTATCAAGAAACTACCAAAGATCTAAAAACAATGATGAGTTTATAGAATTGAACATACATATAGTAAATTTTTCTTTAAAATAATTATCTCAGTTTTGAAATAAGATAATTTTTTGTAATTCAAGCACTCACTTCCTCTACTTAAAATTTGACCACAATTTTCTTCAACCTACTTGGGGTTAGTAAGATAACCAAGTTACCATTTAATAATTTCTCACAATAGAACATTCTTTTTGTCATGTGTATGTATGTATGTGTATTTTTATATCCCAAGCATAAAATTGCAACAAACAGTTTTATTTATGTATTTTTTTTTCAACAGGCGGCATTGCCAAGGGCAACCAAGATAGATCTTTCAAATAACCAGCTGACCAGTTTACCGTCCAACTTTGCCATTGCTTTAACAAATGTCACACGTGTGGATTTGAGTTCCAACAAGCTAAAAGACCTTCCTTCAAACATCCATCTGCTGCAAAATTTGCAGTATCTTGACTTGTATAACAACCAGGTGTGT